AAAGTCTCACTCACTCACTCACACACTCACACACACACACACACAAAGACTTGACAGAAAGTCTCACTCACTCACTCACTCACTCACTCTCACACTCACTCACTCACTCACTCACACACACACTTGACAGAAAGTCTCACTCACTCACTCACACACACACTCACATACACACACACTCACTCACTCACTCTCACACTCACACACACACACACACACACACACACACACACTTGACAGAAAGTCTCACTCACACACACACACACACACACACACACACAAAGACTTGACAGACAGTCTCACTCACTCACTCACACACACACTCACATACACACACACTCACTCACTCACACACACACACACACAGAGTCATTCCAGTCCCTGTCAGCAACGGTTTTGCTCCATGCTGTCAATCACTGACTCAGAGAGAGTCTTCTTCCTGAAAGGCTGCATGAAGAGGAACAGCATTTAAAGCTACAGACACTGAAACCGGGTTTTAAACTGTCATGGCGAAATAAACCATCTTTGTTGAATTCTGACCTGAAAAAAATAAAACGAAATTCACATTCTGAGAACTTGCAAGACTTTGAACGCATTTGCTGTAAAGGAGGGCCATGTGGTCTCTGGGGCGGGGTGGGGGGGACCGGCTTTTGTCATATTTTCCACAATCCACCGCCCAGCACAGTTTCTATTCGTGGACACGCTCACCTGATGCCGATCTTCTCCAGGTCAGCATCCGTCAGATACCGCAGCCCCACACCTGTGATCTTTTGTGCTGCACAAACACAACACATTAGCTTCAGTGTCACAGCACGCAAACGAGCAGGACAGGTTAGAGGTGAAACTAGCTATTTGAGCTCTTACAGTTTACAGCTTACCAACCTCTGAATGTATCCTCCCACTCGTCGAGACCTTCGCTTCGCAGATACCGACACGTTTCCTCCACTCCCCACTGCATGTAGTCCGAGCTCCACAGCCCGGGAACGGACGCTCTCTTCTCCGGCGTTTTGAAGCTGTCAGCGGGGCACAGAACTGCCTCTAATGGTCGTTTTCGATTCTCCATGTTGAGCCGGCAAACAGGCGGTTGTCCGTGTTAGTTGGAAGCGTAAAGACACGGAGAATTAGAGCCGAGAACTATTCCCACGACGAAGGGAAACAGCTGATCTGACAATCCTGCACAGAAGACAATCAGGCGCTGAAAATACCCGGGTTTTGTTTCTGCAGCGGGTGCGTCAAGGCAAACCGGAACCCAAACATCCGTCCCAGCCACTGATGTCAAAATAAAGGTCTGCTGAACTTACCGCGTTAAACCTACAGTAACATTACAGTAACAGTAATATGTACAATTATATCCCAGTCTAAATTAAAATCCAGGCGGATTTTACATCTGTGTAGGCGAGATTAAATTTAATATTTGATTTGAATTAATCTGAGTTAAATCAGACTTAGAAGATTGATTTCACCTTGACCAAATTAAAATCATTCATATACAGTCATTCTCAAATATATTCATACCTTTCCATTAAAGAAAAGGCAAAATTCACAATAATCACTCAAATAACAAGAAAATGAAAAAAGCAATAATACATTTTTAAAAATGCAAAATTTTAATTTAGTGAAATAAGCACTGCTTTTGAATTGCGGTTGAAAAGAATAATAAAAAAAAAAAAAAAAAAAAAAACTGATGGACAGTTGAGCAGTGGGCCAAAATACCTGTTAACAGATGCAGAAGTCTGATGGAGAATCACAGAAAATATTCCAATTTATTTATTTGTTTTTTAAATTAAAAAAAAAGATTTCTGTTGAACCACAATTCAAAAGTAATGTCATGATTTTCTTCTTCTTTTATTATTGTTATTATTATTATTATTATTATTATTATTATTAATAATAATAATAATAATAATAATAATAATAATAATAATAATAATAATAATAATAATAATAATAATAATAATAATAATATTGCTTTTGTTAAGTTCAACTTATTTCAGTGACAGCTGTTTTTCCTTCTTTAATGGGAGGGTATGAATACATTTGGGGGGGCAAGGTGGGGCCAGTGTTTAATCACAGGGGCACATTAAAAATGACAACAATGATATTTAAGCATTAAAAGTGTTTATTCACTTTATATTAAAATTAAACATCTGGGGGTTTTTTAAAAAAAAAATTTTGTACAAAAAATAAATGAAATAATGGGGTTATCAGGGCCAGTGTTGAAATGTGTAACATAACAGGGACCCCCCCCAGCAACGGCTTCACACAACAACTGAGAGGAGCAACGTTGTGTAATTATAGCAATAAACATAATAACAGTAAAATCAAATATATAGTGTATATTATATATTACAAATACAATAATACATATATATTTAACCACAACCACTGCTGCACCACTGACCCTGTTGCACGTACATCCTATTTAACAAGTATGCTGATGTTCCAACTGAACAATAATCGCTGTCTGCACTACCAAATACACAAGTCTGTATATGTCCAGGACACATATACAGACAAAGCTGAGCAACAGTTTAGGTGCATTGCTCTAATTCATCGTACAGAGCGTAGAGCCACATTAGTTTTGGTTTCGGTGCTAGCGCATGTCATTGTTATAACGTGATCAGGTTTTTTGTTGTTTTTGTTTTTTTAATTATACATGTTTTGGGGGCTTTTGCCTTTTTTAAAAATATTTTTTATAGCAGTAGAGAGATAGACAGGAAAGGAAGAGAAGAATGAGAAGACCATTAACCGCTACCCCCCATGCTTCTGCCAACCCCTGCTCTGTTTCCTCCCTGCCTGCCAGCCTTTGATCCTCAACCTGTCTCCAGCCTGCATCCCCCAGCCAGCTTTCTCCTGCTATCGAACCCCACCCTGTTTCCATCCTAGATTCCCCGAGCCTGTCTCCCCCCTCAGTTTTGTCCCCTTTTTGTGAGTATCCCTGTTCGTTTGAGTAGCTTGCTTTTTAATGTTAGAATTCATTAGGTTTTTTTCCCCCCCCTCTGTTCTTTGTTTAGAGTTTTGTAGTTTTTTTTTTAGTTTTGGCCCCTTTGTAAATTTGTTCTGGTTTTCCCCAGACGCTCCCATGACAGATGCATCATATCATATTATACAGAAACTTCCCCCCTCCACTTCTCCCTTACACCCTCGTGCTTGCCTCTATGAGGAACTTAGTTACCATCTTATCTCCACTTTGCACTCTGCACTGGCCTCTGTCCTATTTAGAGGCTACTGATATGGTTTTAATGTGAAAGGCCCTTCAGAAACACTCCATGTTCTTCTAGCAAACAGGCTTCTTATTGGATGGGGCCCAAACAGCTACTCAGCACTAACAGTCTGTATCCTTCCATTAGACGAGAATAAAAGTTCAGCTAAGGATACAAAACATTTTTCATGGCAGGAATTTTGTTTGCAATGTTTTTGTTTGTTTGTTTGCTTGTTGTTGTTGCTTTTTTTTAAATTACATATTTTTAATTTAAGTATAATCTATATGAGTTGCTTCACCAATGTTCTTATTTAAGTTACCATGTCTGTAAACTCTGTAATGATTTTATTTTTGAAACTGAGCGCCTTGATTCTGGTATATTTCCTGCGTTTTGACAGCTTGATGCAGGCGGTTACTCATTGGTTGACTTGTGGAGGGCGGAGCAATGTGTTAGAATAAAGCGCCATCACCAAAAGCCCCTGATTATACCCAGGAGCATAAATTAGAGAGGGGTAGCAGGAGACCCTTCCATCAAACACGTCCATTAAATACAGATACGTGTGATATATTCTGAATGACCAAAAAAATCCTGCTGAAATATATATTAGTATGTAAAGTCCATGGGTTATAGATGAATTAAAATGAGTGAATTCATCACTGATGGGAAATTTTGAAATGTTGCCTGAGTTTTTCTTCACATAAACAGTCGTCTTCACCATAAAATGATGACAAAAAGGGACAATATGGTTACTGGAAACCAGCATTAACACCTGACAAGATGCAGCTTCTGTAAATCAAACTCCTTACGTACTATTGCACTCTTAACATGCTTCATTTACAAATAAAGCTAGACTCAAAGAGGTAGAATGGACCCTTTGAGTGATTGTGCAGTCCACATACTGCTGAATGTGGGGAGAGTGGTAGAGAGCGATGTATGATTAAAGTCTCCTGAGATGACGATCACAGACTGAGGGTGTGATATTTACAGCTGGGACACTGAACTGTGGATGAGTTCACAGGCTGCAGCAGCATCAGCCGAGGGGGGGGATGTAAACTGCAATCCCCAGGACGTGCGAAAACTCCCTCGGCAGGTAAAACGGCTGTTGTCTCAAAGAGGGCATTGAGTAAGCTTAGAGATTTGTTACCTGGCACCTAGTGCAGATGTCAGGCTTGTTTAGTCGTCTTTCCAAACGGTCTCCTATAAAATTCACTCTGTTAGAAATATTTCTTAGATTTTGGAAGTGTCTCATCTGGGATGCAAAATGCAATAAATCTGTTCTTCTTCTATCCTCAGACTCTTGGTAAAGGGAGAAGAACAGGAAGTGGGATGCTATGTGGAAGGATGGGCAATATGGACATAACCTTCTATGTAATTTTACACTGCCAGTATGTGTATCATAATTCTCTCTAATGTTGGATAAGATGAACTCTACAACATGACACATGACCAAATGTAAACGAAATAGACCAGGTACCATCAGTCAGTAAACCATCTAAACAGGAAAACGGCTGAAGCTTTCTACTTATATTACTTTAATTTTATTATTTCATCAATACACCCATTGCACAATAATATAATTTTCATGCACTTAGCAAAACACAATATACTTGAGCTGTTTAGTTTGAGTAAATCTGTGATATATAGTATAATCATAAAGCAATAAATGACTTATTTAAAGTTACAAAGTTCATATTTTGTATTGATACAAAGCGTCTCTTGAGAAACAGTTCGTGTCAATACACTTTGCACTGATGCAAAGTGTTTGTCAAGAGACAACTTTAAAAGGAAGAATCATTCAAAACAAAAATCATACAATAGACGATTCCACTAGTAGGAGAAAACAAAGAAAAAAAGATCAGTGACTAAATATGAATAACTAATGTAAATGTAAAGAAAGAGACAGGAAAACAACAAAGTCAGAACTATGACAAGAACCTCGGATCGAAAAATCTTGCTAAGTCTAAATAAAATGACATAAAGTTTCCATCACATTTAAACCACAATTATCATTACAACCAAAATCTACAAAGTACTTAAAATAACCAAACCACAAATTACATGTTCGAGTTAAATGAGGTTACACATGTTGCTGGTGCTTTATAGTTTGCCATGTTCCGTTACCATATAGTTTGCCAATTACATACTTTAAAAGAGCCAAAGAAAAAAAGATGGAAGTATCTTGCTGATATTTGTAATCATTTTAAATCTGAATATAACAATGAGTGTCAGAATGTTATTTTTTTTCACTTTAGATCTCCATCTTCATCATCCACCACCATGTCTTCCACTTCACTGGTCATCTCCATGTGTTGCTGTCTTCATTCAGTACTTAGATAAAGAAAGCATAGACAACTGCATTAGGATTAACAAGAGGCGCTTCTGGTGAGAGGTTGAGATTCATTGTATTTGCAGCAGGGAACCAGACTGCACTGGAGCTGATAACAAGTTTATTTGTATATGTGAGTATATTTATAAGCATTTTCCCCTTTTTCTGATTTTACATCTATAGAGCCAGCGATACATTAATTAATCAAGAACATAGCCAGCAGATGAATCAACAGGAACAATTTTTGTCCAGAACCAAGTTTAGAAAGTGTAAGAAATGTAATCTGATTCTGGTGCTCTGACTAGATATACTTGAGACACCGATAAAGTCTTATTACTGTGTCTTGCGTGGTGGTTGTGATTCTATTATGTTACCAAAATCTGTCCACAGACAGACATATGGGGGGGTACATGTACCTCTTTGCCTGGGGCACCTCAGAACCTGGGATCGCCTCCGCCTCAGGTGGTGGAAAGCCCTTTTTCTTGCACCAGTCTCTAAAGTGCTCTTGGGCCTCTTCCAAGTCAGTCTCTGATTTTGATTTCTTGCAATAAACCCGTATGAACTTCTCAGAGAAAGTTGTTGGGAGAAGCCTGGATTTCTGAAAAAGTGATTGCAAATTATGATGTAGCCAAGGTTGTCTTTCAAAGACATTCACAGCAGGAACAAACAGCACGTGCAAGGAAATTTCAGTTTAATTAAAAAAAAAAAAAAAATGTAGTCATTGCTGAAGTTCTGACCTGGCTTTCAGGGATCTTGAATCCGTTGGTGAAGTCATTCTTCCTGTAGAAGTATGTATGGTTGATGGGGTCCTTTTTTTTCATCCCATAGTCCAAAGTCACAACCTAACAGAAAAGTATGAAAAAGGAGCCTGTGTTTTATATCCATAAGAAAATTATATCTTGCCGAAGGTTGGTGACATCTTATGAATCAAATCATAATTAACAAGCCCAAGAGTGTACGAAAAGTTTACAGAAGATAATTGAACTAAACTCACAGTAACTACAATGTCTGCTTTATCCTGAGAGAGTTTCTGAGCCAGTTCAACTTTCCAACTTTCAATCTGCTCCCGCGAGATCTAGAAGAGACCATGAATGTTTCATGTTATTATTGGTTTGTTAAATGTGCTTTATGATGTTAAGTCATTCTCTCATTCTTACCTCCAGCATTTCTGCTCCTTCTTCCTGGTTGGGCTGAGAAAGGGTGAGAAGTAGGAGGGACAAGACGGTGATTTATTCAGTGCTGACAACATACAATAAGAGTATAACAATATTTTTTTTAAATACTACAAATCATATATTTAAGTAATGCTTAACTCATCCATGATTCATTATGACTTAATACCTGAATTAATACAAGCTGTATCATGGAGTCCTGTTGCTTAGTTTTAACAAATAGTCAAGCTATGATCACTTTATGCGATTAGTTCGCAGATCAGTTATGGGATGTTAATTTACAATGACTCTATATATGAACTGATATATGACCAAATTAGCTGAATTTCAGTTACATAAAACTTCATTTCAGGTCAATATATTTGCTCAGCTACTCTGAAAGCAGAACAGTAGTTGTTGTTCACATAGAAATATGAAGCTATATGACGCTGATCATTAGTTGAAACTCTTAGACAAGAAATACCAATACAATTATGTGACCACACCTTTAAACTGGGGTGCTATTCAAAAAGAATATCAAACGCTGTAAATATGTAATTGTCTTTACCATAAGAGGAATTCCTACTTTCCAGACAAGTATATTCAGGCAAATGTTGGATATTATGAATTTGACTGTATGAAAACAGGTCATCCAGGAAGCACTTAATGGGGTTCACTGGTCTGGCACTTAGCAGAGTAACTGGCTGTATGTATAGCCCACTGTCACAGGCAGGCTGTGTGGACTTTA